CGAGATCATTCCGTGGGTTGACCTCCCACTCGGAAATATGACCATATATGGGCTCATGTTCATGCAAATGGCGCTTCCAACTGGGCCAAGCCGAATCACAGAGTTATCACGACCGATCAATTGCAGATGCTCCTCCTCGGCGCCTTGGGCCAGTGGAATTTGGGGGCCGCTACGTGTCTCAGCGAGCGATGTCGCGGCCGGCAAAAGAGAGAGAGAAGCAATCCATTGCTCAGCTGGCATTACTCTTTACGGCTCTTCCTACTCCATACCCAACCGTCCAACTCGCACACTCTGACACGATGCTGACATCAGGCCTATGCAGGTGGCCCGGGAAGAAAGAATGGATGTTGTTGGCAAGGATTCCGTGTGGCAGGCTCCATCTCCCACATTCGCACTCGTACAACCTCCGTCCACCTCGTGGGGTTTTCGGCCATTTTAAGGATGCAGTGCAGCCAATTGCGATGGTCCCGTTGGCGATTCAAGCGGCCATCTCCTAAATTTTCCATCCCAACTATCTAGCCCATTTCGCCGCAATCAGCCGATTTGCTCCTCAACCAACACTAGTGTTGGGCTGAGAGCATCACGGCCTTTTGCTGGAGGCGAAGAGTGTATAGTCGAGACAACCTTTGATCTTTTGGGAAAAGTGAGGGTGGAGGGGGGATGACAATTGTAAGATGGTTCTTGCACACAAGTGAGACGACCTAACCACCATGCCTGCCCAACATGTAATTACAGCTCTCAGATATGGTACGGCATCCATGCCCATGACTCCATGCGAGACTAGTTGTAGAACGCTCAGTTCTCTCCCTGGTACGTGCCGCGGCTGGCACATGGCAACTCCACCCCTCCACTCCCAACCCCTTGCCCTGACACATTCGCCGACTGGGTGAAATGTACATCCGGATACCATAGTCCCCGTCGGTTGAGCAAGGCAAGAGATCGACAGGGCATGCCATCCTTGGACTTCTTTCGGGGCAGCCACAAGTGTTCGCGTGTGCGTGCGTGCGTACGTGCATCTTGTGCGCAGCCGAACGAACAGCGCAGTTCCCAAGGTAGGTCAAGGGGCAGTGCCTGGGCCAAACAGCGAGTGTTCAAGACTGGCTGCGGGATCGGATCCCTAACTCTTGGATCGAAACAAGATCATTTTTCCTGGTGTGCGACCCCCGGCAGAGAAACGCATGATACTGTCGATACGAGAGCCAGCCGCACGCGCAAACCTGCCCAGGGAGAACCGAATCGGACCAGTCAGGACGGGGTGTTGTTGTTCTGGAAATCTAGACCTGCTTCCAACTCCACAAGCCTCATCCATGCCACGAGGGTTTGACGACACTACCTAATATTAACTGAGCCTACCGGCTACGCCCTTGGCTACGGTACACTAATAATTTCGAAATTATAGCGTACCCTCATGTACATTGCAAGTATCGCCCTATGGGAGCATCTACGCAGCGGGACCTTGCATATGCCTCCCCCAGGCATTTGCTTTTTGCCATGGTCGTCTCTTTTTGTGTTTTTTTTTTCCTTTTCACCGGCTCACGCCTATCCTCACCTCATGCAGCCGGCATTGTTGATGTGCCAATCCCGGGACTCCGCTCATGCCCTATGGCGGTAGGGCAGCCGGGTCTATTCCCTGACGCCGACCTGTATGTAGGTGAGGTATGGTATGCACATATGTTTGATGGGACGAGAGGTGCATATATCAAGCAGCATTCGTTCATAAGAATGTGTCTAGCTGCGTGTCCACCGTTTGTCTCGCTTCGCAGGTGATCGGCCGTTTTCATCACCACTCAGGTAGGTGCAGAATGGTTCTTGCGTGGCTTCGGCATGTCTCAGGTACTCGGTCGCAAACACAATCAATCTTACTACCTATGTAGGGATGGGACGCACGGTCTGGCCCATCCACGATCTCTGGGCGGCACTTCTCCATATGATATGAGCATGTGCTTCCGACACCTACATCATATCATATCATATCGTACCGTATGGGCCCAGCTACGACATACATTAGCTCACTCCAACGTCGTTCGGCCGTCCGCCCTTGTCCTTGGCCCGCTGATGGCAGGGATATCGTTAGCGAGCGTGTGTATCCATTGGTACAGTACTCCCATCGTCTTGGTAGCAGCAGAGACCCCGGCAGACGCCGTGCCCACTACCTTGCGTCCAGCCGGAGGCACCATACTACCACCCTCTGGGATCGGAGGGTGTCACTGCGGGTTGTAGCCATAGCCCTGGTCTGGAGATGCAGAATGACCCAAAGCCTCCATCGACGAGATCAGGCCAGATACACCCCGTGCCCGCCTGCAAAGACCAGCTCAATAGTCGCCCATCTCCTTCCGCATTCCGTCGTCTATTGTCCGGCTAGCACGCGGGCGTTGGTGCTCCAGTTTGCCCAGACCGCCCGCCAGCCCCTGTGATTGATCCCTGGGGGCCTGTAAGGTACAGGGCTTCGGGCTTCTCCCCAGGTACTACGTTCGGCAGGCGGCACCCCTACAGCGGCCAGGTATCTCCAAGGTACCTGCTGTGGGCTGCGCCAGATGATGTGGTATCGTCAAGCGCAACAGTCCTCGACGGCCAAGTCCCCGTTACACAAGAATCACCAATGTCCCCTTGGTCTGCAGCACGTCTCAGGCGGGCTCAGAGCGCGTCCAAGAGCTCTCCTGCTGAGCCGGTAGTTTAATTGTGGTATCATAGCGAATGTCACTATCTGCGACTAGCTGGAGCGCCTCTCGTGTTCATCCCACTGCGGGCCAAGCTTTTTAAACTGAGCAATCCGTATTCGATTAATGCTTCTCGGATCGGCCCCGGAGATTTCCCTGCCAGAGGAGCATCGACGGGCGGACAGAACCCTCTTTCTCGCTACCAACCGTACTATAATTAAGGGCCCCTCCTTTGGGGTGATGAGGATTGTCGTCGCGTCGCATGTGACGTCTCCAGACCTCGCTGCCCATGTCCGCCTCATCTCATCTCATCTCATCTCCCTCAGGCTCAGTTCAGGTTGGCTCCAGATGGGTAAGACACACGAGGGACACCTGACAGCTACAAGAAGACACAATGTTCAACGCTACCGAACCTGGAAACGTCCTTTCCTGCTAGAGCTGCACATGCGTCAGTAGCTTTCCCGAGCCCACTAAAAACGGAGAATTCCCTTCGGGGGAGAGGCGGGCAGGCAAGCAAGGGTGAGAAGAGGGCCCTTTCACGCTCTCTCAGGAGTCCAAGGGGGGGGGTTGGCGTTGAAGGTCAACCCGCAGCTTGTGCGATATATCCACCCCCTCCGACCCTCCGCGTCCTCTCTCGGCTCCCTCTTGGTGCCTCTTGCAACGGCGGGCTGACGCATGTCGCTAGCTGTCGTAGGGAGGTACGTAGGAGCGAACTGGTGAGGGCGGTTCGTTCATGCCATGTACGGCGCAGGCTCCATCGACGTCTGTCTGGCAGGATATCCACTCTGGACAGACAGTTGCCCAGCCTTGTCTCTGAAGGAACTCAGCTTTGGATAAATTGCATGCCAGCCATCTCAGTCAAACCTCATTGCCGGGTGGACGCACGCACATGGAAGCGAGACCTGTTTGAGATTCTCGAACATGATGGAGCTGGGCGCCCGCCCTCTCCATCAATCTTGGGGGAGGAGACTGGCCCCATTGTCTTCCCCGTGCTTGTCCTTCTTTGTTACCGCTATTCCATGTTCCAGAAACCGAATCGTTCCTGCTACGAGATGATGATAAGTTGAGACAACGCCTCGAAACCGTTGCGACAGGCCAACATCCTATAGCACAGGGCGGGACAACACACTCCTTGCAACCCAGCCGCCCTCCTCTTCCTACTCTTCCTCCTCATCCCCACCAGTCCATCCATCGGATCCGTCGCTGTACCCAATCGCCCAAAGACCCTTTCGTGCTGTTGGCCCCCTCCTCTCCCTTCCCTTGCTCACCCACGGGCCCCATCGATCACGGCAGCAGGCGTCATCAGGGGTGAGGATATGCATGACGCTATCACACCATGCTCACTTTCAAGGGTTCTCACCTCCAAGGGTTCCCTCTTCATTTTAAATCACCCGTCCCCAAGAGGCAAGGAACTCCCCCTTATGGGTAGACGCACATGGGGCCGGCCGCCCCCAAGCCCTCTCACCTCGGACACCCCCAGCTTATGAAGACAGGCCCAGGCCAAACCCTACTAGGTAGACCACCATACACAGACAAACGTACCGAGCCACTATGACGCTGAAGGATGCCCAAATCTCAGATTGGCGGGTCGGAGGGGGGGACCGCAAGAGAGCAGCACCGCGCACGCACGTCCCCTTGCTTCTTTTACTTGATGTATGTCTACGCTTTCGGCTGGCCCTGACTCGAGTTTGATGGCCAACCTATCGCAAGCTTGGGGCTTTGGGATGTCTCTGATTATTTTTTTTTGTCTTTCCTTTAACATTTGCTGTCTGTTTTTATGCCCTTTCTCGGTTAGCTGACGATTCCAGAACTGAGCCAAGAGTTCAGCAGGGGGGGAGGGGGGAAGCCCGGCGAGTACTGTAGCGAGACTCGCCAAATGCTCTCTATTTTCCTCCGGCATGTCTGTCCGTCTGGCTCTTCCCCCTCTCGCTTTGTACTCTTTCTACGCCTGTGTCCCTCACTACTCGCTCGGTTGTGGCGTTCGTCATCGTGAACCCCATTCAAGTGGCTGTCTGAAAAAACAGGGACTGCAAAGTCACCTCAACAGAAGGATTGTAGCAGTCAGTCCTATAATAATAATTCCTATTGTGTAGTAATATATAAGAAAGTCCAATAATTACCCAGGAATTCATTATTGTCACAGACTTTTCTTTATCAATATCGTAGCCTGTTGGGAAGATAGAAACACCTTTGCAGTCCCTATTATTCAGACGCCCACTTGCCCATTCCCCTTCTCTTACCTCTCTTCCTTGGAAGAATGAGGCATGCGGTCCGTAAAGAGTTATGAAATGAAGCGGCTTGAATTTTGTCTCTACAAAGCAAGCAGTATCCTTTAGTACCACTTTAAGCGCTCGCAACTCTCCCAGCGATGCGTTGCAGGTGATAGTTGTCAATAACGACATCGTGCTCCCCTGGTCCTGGCGGTCGAAGGAAGAGATCTTCGAACTCCAATCGCAACGCACCGCCGCTGGTGACTTCATACGACTCGGTAGAATACGGATTGTTATTCCCAGGAATCCGTTCAATGATGATGACTTGTCTAGACTGCGGGTTCGGACGAGAACTGGCCCGCGTGGCCGTGGCTCCGGCTCGTTCAGGCCGTAGAGGCTCCTGCCACTTCTCGATGATGATGGTCGACGGGCCATCTGCCTTGACGAGGAGGACAATCTTGACCTGGTGGTCGGAGGCCTCGAACCACCACGTCATGTGCCGTCTCATCTCCTCCAGGGACATGGAGTGCGAGCTCTCAACAATGAGGATCGGGCATTTCCTGTGACCTTCGCCTGGCGTGGAAAAGCTTCCACTGGAATCAGCCTCGCCTTCGCTCCCGCCAGAGAGTGCTCTGAAGGTCGCAGCGCCCCGGCTTAGCCAGTACCATTCCAACCCCATTTTACTGATTTCAATGTAGATATCTAGATATAGGTTGATGTGCAGCTGCTCATGAGTGGCCGTGGTGAGGGCGACGATCAGGAGTTCCTCTGCTGGGTAGTAGCGTCTGAACCGATACTTCCGCATCTTACGGCACCTGTACTTCTTGAGGCGTTCGTAGGTAGAAACGGATACATCTACAGATGTAAGAAGATATAAGAAACACGAGAGCAAGATTATACACTCTTACCTCTAACATAGAGAGCATCACACTCGGATTCATCGATGGCCTTGGTAAGAGCTTGAGGCGAGGTGAACGAGATGACTCGGGGCTCATCTGGCGCGACGGATGTCGCAGCTTGTGAGGCTACAGATCTCCGTTGACGCTTGGGCATACTGAAGAGAGGGCAAGCGACAGATATCAAACATGGCCCGCCGGTGAATTTCGACACAACATCAAGAAGTAAACACAATAGCAAGCTAGATATCGTAGAATAGTTTACTATTTTCTTGTCATTCTGTTTATTAATAAGGAAATTAAGTCGCGACCTTAGAAAAGGGCCTTAGCGTGCTATCATTGATGTTTACTTTCAACCAGTTGAACCTTTTCGGGCACCAAGGTAAACAAAGTTCACAAAGGTAGCCCTTACAGGCGAACATCATGTATGAAGAGAATGAAACAAGTAGATATAGATACGTAAAGGCTCGCCCAAGATCAAGCAGAAATCACCAACAGCCCACGACAACATGAAGCAAATTCCCATTCCAAAATCACGCTCAAGGGCTGGTTGTTCTCGCAGTCTGTCAGTATTACAACCCAGCGTGACACAACGGTCGAATTTATGCGCCATTTCCATACAAATTGTTTGTTAGTTGAAATAAATCCCGAGGATTTCTGCCCAACAAGACTAAACCTCATGCTCGCTACGGCCCAGTAGAGGCCCATTTGCTGTGTAAGCTAGGCATAGATCTAAGTTCATGCGGGAGGTGTACAATAAGCGAGCGCTACCGAGACCCAAGCTCTGCAGCCAGAACGTTCCACAAGGTGGCACAGCACAACGTGGGTATTATGCGCAGCCCGGGAGAGGCTGGTCCCGCCAAAAAACCAAGGAGATCAGAGACGACTGGGGGTGTTCTCTCGTGGCTTAGAGCCACTCCAGCCCCCTTTGCGACGTCCACAACTCCGAGACAGGTCAGACACAGCCACAGCTGTATGCATGAAACTCGCAGCAAAGACTTCGATCATGGTAGGACCATTGGGTACAAAAAGGCCGATACATGCGTTATAGTCGGCTTTCAATACCTGCGTAGTTACTATCCGCTGCCCAATGGGAGTCTGGCCATACCATCCGAATTGCCTCCCAAATATGGCTGTGCAAGGTCAGCTACACGAACAATGTCACAGCAGGGGAAACATATCGGCGATTCTCACCTGACGTGGATGATCTCCAGACCATCCTTGACCTCCTGTGGCAGATCTTTCACATCTTTTCGGTTCTGTGCAGGTAGTAACACCGTTTTGACGCCCGCTCGTAGTGCTCCAATAAGTTTCTCCTTGATACCTCCGACGGCGGTCACTCTACCACGGAGGGATATTTCGCCCTGTATGACTCGCATTAGTATTTATTGCTTCAAATCACAGAGACATTTTCAAACACCCCGTGGGTACAAAGTATTGACTTACCGTCATGGCCATGGTCGGTGGGACAGGTTTTCCTGAAAACAGAGAGATGAGCGCAATCGCTTGGCCAATGCCGCTACTGGGCCCGTCCTTGGGTATGGCGCCGGAAGGACAGTGCACATGGATGCTTCGCTCCTTCATGATGTCGGTTGTCGGCTCTGGGGTAAGGCCGAGCTCATAAGCATGGGCCTTCACCCAAGTGAGGGCAACCTCGACGCTCTCCTTGAGAACATCTCCAAGCTTCCCGGTCAACTGAACCCTGCCGTTACCAGGCATATCAGCCACCTCAATGAAGAGAATGCTACCGTTGCCTCCTGAGCTGTAAGCAACCAGTCCAGTCACGATACCCGGGCGACTAGACTTCTCGGCAATCTCTTCCTCAAAGCGCTCAATTCCCAAGATGGCCTCCAGGTCGTCAACCGCGAGCTGTGGTTTGTACTTGTCGAGTGCGTTAGAGTCCTTCGCCTCTGCGAATTCCACAGCCTTCGCACGACACACGGAGCCAATCTCACGCTCGAGGTTGCGAACCCCTGACTCACGGGTGTACGACTCAATGATCTTGGACACAACATCTTGGTTGAAGTACACCTGATCCTCGGCCAGTCCGTTAACCCGAATCTGTTTGGGGATCAAATGCTGTACTGCGATGTGACGCTTCTCAAGTGTCGTGTAGCCTGGAATGTAGATCATTTCCATACGGTCGAGAAGGGGACCAGGGATTGTATCAAGCGAGTTGGCAGTGGCGATGAACAGAATCTTGGAAAGATCAATTGGCATACCCACGTAGTGGTCGTGAAATGTGTGGTTTTGCTCTGGATCAAGGACCTCGAGCATTGCAGCTGAAGGATCGCCGTGAACGCTCGCAGCTCCAACCTTATCGATCTCATCCAACAGGAAAACCGGATTAGCGACACCGACCTTGCGTAGACCTTGGACAATGAGCCCAGGCATGGCCGCGACGTACGTTCGCCTATGGCCCCGGATTTCGGCTTCGTCCCTCACACCTCCCAAGGAAATGCGGTGAAACTTTCGTCCCAGCGCCGTCGCAACGGATCTAGCCAGACTAGTCTTGCCTACTCCAGGGGGGCCTACAAGGAGCATAATGGGAGATTTATCAACCATTCTCTTTGACTTGAGAACCTGGAGCTTTGCAGAGTCCTGCAGGCTGGGCTTAATCCGAGGCACATGATCATCCAACTCGTCCTCCATCTGACTAGAATCGGGGGCAGAAGAAGCTCCCTCCTCCTCAGCCTGCTTAATTTTTGCATCAACGCCATCGTTGATAGACTGCTTCAGCCGAAGAACAGCAAGATATTCGATCAGCCGTTTCTTGACTTTATCCAGACCGTAGTGATCCGTATCGAGCTGCTTGCGGGCTCTGTTCAACGTCTCCGGACCAAGGCGGTCTTCAGTGACAGCAGCCCAAGGAATCTCCGACAAGGTTTCCAACCAAGTTCGGGTGACTTGGTACTCTTGGTTCATAGGCATCATCTTTGAAAGGCGACGGAGCTCCCTGTCCACGGTCTTAGACACCTCTTGAGGTAGCTTTGCAGCCTGCAGCTTCTTCTTGAGTTCTTCTAATTCATTTGCCTCCTGATCCCCGTCCTGATCGTTGTTATTAGGCATCTGCCCCTGGGGTGGGACAAAGGCCATCCCCGGCATGCCTGGGAACGAGTTATTCTTTCGTTGGTTATCATTCAGGCGGTCCAGGATTTGAACTGGAACTGTGGTGAATGCCGTGATCTTGAAATTATTCTTGATGCCTCCCACTTGGCGATCAAGGAGCTCAATGACCTTTGTGATCCGGACCTTGACATCCAAGGCAGCCAAAACTTCCAGCTTCTCCTCATGAGTGGTCTCTACCAAGTTGGACATGAAGTCGGCCAACAGTCCCGCGTCTTTGAATTCTCTCCTCATAATCAGCATATCCAGTCGCTTTGTTATCGAGGGGGCCAGCGTCGGCCCACCCTTCGTTCGGGGCAGTAAGGATGAAATTCGAAGGATGGTGACCAGCTCCCTGGACTTGGCTTTCAAAAGCTGGAATAGCTCGTGCAGCTGTTTATCTGAAGGGTTGACTATCTCAGGCGTTAGCGTATTCATAATTCACGGAACTGGGCGTGGGCTGCACATACCCTCGTCAGTGAAGTACGTGACATTTCCTTCAAAGAAAGGACGCTCTTGGTATATTCCATCAAGTCGTATGCGCGCGGTGCCCTCCACTCTCAGAGCAAACTCTCCAGATCCGCGGCCATCGACACCGATTATCTTGGCAGCTACGCCAAAATTATAGAGGTCCGCGGTTTTGGCACTCCCGGGGTTGATGTCATCGGACTGTGAACTGTCGACCTCCTCGCCATTATTTATGAGTAGCTGTCCACCCGGACCAACATGGGGTGATGATATCGGAACGCAGCAAATCGGAACTTGGTCTATGCGGCCCTCGGGGCCCTTCGCGGCGGCACGTTCATAAACATGGGCGAGCAACGCTGGGATGTCCGGTCGGCTTGAGGTGACAGGAATTCTCTGCACTAGACCGGGGAGTAGAACTGTCCCTCTAGCGAGGGGAATAACTGGGAGGCTCGCAGTCTGGTTCCTTGCCATGGCAAGACGGTCGTCGTGTCGCGCCGATAGTTAGGGGGTTGTAGATAGCCGGTCACGAGATCGGAACGCTTGAAGGTGATGCGAGGTGAGAGATGTCTCTTCGACAGGATGTTGATTGAAATTGGCCGCCTAGGTGATGATAGCTACTACAATCGCGATGGAAAGCACTGGAATATTGCCGTGGAGACGAAAGAGGATGAGGATGGGTTGTCAAATCCAAGGATTGGCGACGTATTGACCAAGCTTAAGAGTCCCTGGGACCCTTGCAAGAAGCCGGGGAAGTTGTTCCCGCTGCACCATTACTTGTTCAGCGGTCATAGCACGCTTAATAATCCCTACCTGCCGAGGCTAAATCAGCTCCCCATAGAATCGGGGTACAGGTTAAACAAGCGAACGCATCTCCTTTGCAGCAGCCTCTCTGTGGCGCCCATTTTCTTGTTAATCGGGTACTTGCATTCGAGCGATTCCGAATTGCGAGTCAATTCCGTGATGTTGACATCCACGTGAAGAGAGGCCGTATCCAACGATGTCCACCAGCCGTGCCGTGCTATGATGTTCATGATCCAACGGCGCCAATATTAAGTGGGTAAACAGTTGATGTTCTGGGTTCTTCCACCACCCATTCGCTCCGGCCCGGCGAGAACGCGGAACACCTGACCGAGGCTCATCAAGGTATCATAGCTACCAAATCGTCGGAGTCGCTCCTTGTGGGCCTTTCCATGAACAAACCGAAGGCACACAATTACTTCATCATCTTACGTCCAATGGGTGAATGGCCAGAGTATCAATGACTGCATCAATAAATGATATTTATTGATTAGTATCCATCATCATGTCAATTCATGACCAGCCAGTCAACACCACACTGCGAGTATTCTAACAGCCCGCGACAGCGTAACGTCGTTTCCAAGATAATTCTGTCTTTCAACGAGAACTAGTCATGTTTCTAGCACACAAGCAAGACTCTATTCGTTTGCCGCTTTGAAAAAGCATATATTGGGAATCGTGATAACTTAAGAGGAGCCGACAGTCTCGGGGACCTTGTTGGCGTCGTAGCCAACGCTCTCCTTCAGGGATTCAACCAGAGCGACGTACTGCTCTTGGGCCTTCTCAGGGGTAAGACCCGCGTCGGCGTGCTTCTGCCAGGCGTTCTTCTTGGCCTTGCCCTGTATAATCATACAAGCCAATGTCAGTCACAACACTTGATATATGGGTAATTCGGTGGAATGGGCGTAATTGCTTGCCTTGAGATCGAACATGCCTGGATTGGGGCTCTTAGAAAAATCCTCGCCAGTGCCGACCTTGTACAGAGCTAGTAACTAGCATGTTAGCGGCACCTTCGGAGACCACAAGGAGGCTTAACGATCGTACCATAGAGCTCGAGGAGCTGCTCGTTGGAGGGCTTCCCTGTCAACTTTCGGGAGTCTTCGACAGCCGTCTTAAAAGCCGCGCTCTGCTCAACAGCCATGATGCCGGATGAAATGTGTAAGTTTAGGGGAATTGTTTGATTGAATGTGATCTCGGTTCCGGATGATGGATGCGGTTCTAAAGATGAAGAATGAGAAATGCAGGAGGTGGGACAAAACGGCTGTTGAGCTTTTAGAACTAATTGTTGAGGATGAACCACGAGGACAGCCGATGCAGCGGGGTTGTTGCACCCCACATGACAACATCAACCCCTCCACGCCAGCTCCAATCCTACAGCAGGGTAGGCAGGTAGCTACCAGCAGCCTAGGTCCATCGCCCCAAGCTCGGGCATTTACAGGTGCCTGCTGTCATCAGCTCCAGGTACTTTGCGTCAGAGGTGCGTGAATGCATGTGGTAGGCTGACTAACATCAATCTCCAACCAGACGTCTCTGTCCGGCCCCACAAACGCGGGGCAGCAGACCGTTAATTGATTTTCCAAGGTCGCGCGTCACAGAACGCGTCTACCGTTCTTTCTTTCACATCACCAATTAGACCGATTCACTCCAACATAATGTGTACGCAGATCCCATATGATGTATACTGCTTTTCAAACTAACAATACATGCCTCTGAGCAGCAGCATACGGAAACCAATACAAGAGCGGGTTCGGCGGCCAAAACGATGATAGCGGTGGCTTTTTCGCCGGCAGCTCTCAACAAGGCAGCCAAGGTGCTGGACAAGTAAGTCGATCCCATTTTCTGATCGAAAGCTTCATGTTGATGCATGCTAACGCAAATTCTCTACCTACCAGGTCAAACAGGAGAAGTCGCTACGTCCAGTGACTATAAAACAAGTTCTAAGCGCCGAACCCATCCCAGGCGGCGAGCATTTCAAGATTGACGGCGCAAATATCGATCAGATCACTATTGTCGGACAGGTCCGCAGCATCAGCGCACGACCAACACATCTACTGGCTCAACTGGACGACGGCACTGCTCAGGTTGAAGTACGCATGTTCACCAATGAAGAAGCCAAGGTATCAGAGGATTCATACGAACCAAACTCTTTCGTTCGCGTCTTCGGCATCATCCGGTCCTTCAACGATAAGCCTTCGATCACTGCCTATTCTATGCGAGCTGTACCCGACTACAACGAAGTAAATTACCACCTTCTCGAGGCCACCCACACCCACCTCTACTTCACCAAGGGCCCCCTTGATCAGGAAGGACGTGCTGGCAACGAGGAGCCGAGCATGTTTGTTGGCGGCGCTGGAGGCGGTGCAGGCGGTGCTAGCGCGGGCAACAACTCGGACTCGAGATTAGGTAACTGCTCTCAGAACGCGCGAAAGTTCTTCAACTTCCTCAGCAATGTGCAAGGCAACGAGGGCGCGAACATCAATGCCATTGCGAACCAGCTCCAGTTCACCATGAGCGATGCGCTGAAGGCATCCGAGGAGCTGTATAGCCAGGGTGTGATTTACAACACGATTGACGACGAAACTTGGGCTATTCTGGAATATGATTAAGGATTGCAACGAGTATAACCGCAGCTTGAGCGCACGTTAGGGTCTGTTTTTGGTACGAATTGACATTTTAGAACACGGTGTTCAGGCTTCTAATAGACGAAAAAACATTGGGGATATATCCCCCCTTAGCTCATCAAACCCTTCTATGCCATAAGCACTATGGCCTTCCTATATTTAACAAATGATTTCCATTACGCCCCGTAGTTTGACACATGATGCAAACTGTCGGCAGGCTTCACGCACTACAAAGCCATATTAGAGTAGAAGAGATATATATGGAGTAAGTCCAAGGATTCTTGGACACAACCTAAGAATGAAGAGCCCTGGATAGCAAACTAACCTAGTTTCATTAACATTCAGTACATTTAGTCTCGTAAGAAAGGAGCCAACCCAAGTTCGTTTACGATGGAGCGGCATGTGTATATCCGTAGCCCATTTGACACTCCGAAGTGGCCGGCGTAGGACAGAGGATAGCAGAGTAAGCAACATTCAGGGACATGAGGGTCTGCATTGTAGATACGGAGTAGCCAGATTGAAGGATTATGATGTATCACAGTCCGCTATGATTTCTCCGCCGAGGAGATGACAATATAACGTCATTGGTCGAGGCATCAGTCAGAGGGGCTTGTCCTACCACATGTGAAACCCACTTGTCACTCAAAGTATCCCTTTGCTTAGAAGATATTGTCAGTGTTTCAACTCGGTCATCCTCATCATCTAGCTTGAAAACTAATGGGCATTCGAATGAAGCCTGGGCGTAGATAGAGCGCCATGGGCGATTCTTCGGGCATTGTCTAGACACTCTCCGGAGCTCTGAAGCCGCTCGCTCAACCCGCATTATGTGCAGCTTGTCAGGTGGTCAACCTCATGTGCGCAAGGAGACACGCGGACATTTTGGTACTTTGGCCCTGCAGGTCATCATTTGATACTCGTAACTCGAAACGCAGTCACTCGCAGCAACACACGGGCGTGATCAAATCAAATGCCTTCTGCCCTGCGTTTGGTCCAACACGAAGGCATGCATGTACTACGTAAGCTTCATTAATGTTATTCCGGTCTTATCAACAACACCTCAAGCGACTCCATCGAGGGTGAAAGATTATTGGATAGGAAGAGGAAGTAAATCTTTGGATATCTAAAGTGGTGCCTACATGCCTACATGTCAAGCCACCAAAACTCGTAACGCACAGCAGTCCCCGTTGTGTTCGCCGGACCATTCTGAATGGCAAAGGACCATTTCTACATGCGGCGGATCTCCTGCTCGTTGAGATACTTCTCCAGCCCACCATCGAGCTTCTGCCACCACTCAAATAGCATCGAGTCGCAGATGAGCTTGAACCAGGGTGTGAACTTGAGGCTGGGGTCCTGGAACTGCTGCTTCAGAGACTCGGGCGTGACCCACTGGATGGCTCGTACTTCGTTGGGGTTGGGGTGGACATCGACCTTGGCCTTGATAAATAGAATATAATCAACTGTGCCTTAAGTCAGTAACAAAGTCTGGTACAAGTCATGAGAAAACCTACTCTCGTGCTCGCCCCATTTCCCGTCGCTGGGCGCCTTGTAGTGAATGCGGGTGAGGAAATGGAAGTCCTCGAATGGGACCTGCTCCTTCTTAATGCCAAGCTCCTGGTCGAGCTTTCGCTGCGCAGCGCGCTTGACGCCCGCAATTGCATCTGGGAGGTTGGATCCAGTCTCGCCTGGGATTCCCAGGGGGTGGGAGCAGCAGGTGTTGGTCCAGAGATCAGGGAATGTGATCTTCTCAGTTGCCCGCTGCTGAAGAAGCAGTTCGTTCTTTTCGTTGAAGAGGAAGACGGAGAATGCGCGATGGAGGAGCCCCTTATCGATGTTGGACATGAGGTGGCCTACAGAGCAATATATTAGCTTTAACTAGCAACCACACAGGTTTTGAATCTAGAGACGTACAAATCTTCTTGCTGGCCTTTCCAATTGGGATATCGTTGTTGTCGAGAACAATGCAGACCTCGTCCATCAACCGAATCTGCTCCTCGTCGTGGCCGCTCAAGGCTTCGTCGTTGGTGTCGATGTCGGGGAAGAGACGCAGCATGGTCTCGGCCGTGATGGCCTCGGTGGTAACCGTAGTTGTGGTCATTTTGATTTATATTGCGTGCGTATGCACTACGGGCGAAGTTGGTTAAATTAGAGGAGGATTATCGACATCGACAGCGACAATGGCTTGTGTGAAGAAGTTCAACATCCGGGAGATTTGCCCCAAGATTTGCCCCTCCATCTCCCTAATTGTTGGTCTAATTGCAACCACATCACTACAGGTACCGCTACCTCCCCCGTCTTGAGTGTGGGGCACTCCACCCTTTCGGGTTCCTTATTAGAACACTGTCACGGGAAGTATCGGTCTTTGTTAGTTATAAGGCTGCCTTCATAGGCCAATATCTTTGTTGTCTTTCGTTTAATTCGTCAGCCTGATAGTTGCTGGCAAATGGCGGAGTCTGATGTATCCAGTTTATGCACCTCATCTTGGTCTCGTGCCTAAAATTATTTCTACACCGCTCGGCGTTAGTGACAGACAACCAAGTAGTACAGGTCACATTCAGAAGCTTGGAGATGGCGGGGTGAAACAAAGGAACTTTAACATGTAGTCTACATCGGTAGCCACAATAGCGAATTGAAACCAAATCGGACTAAATGTCTCGCATCTTATTCCGATCGGACTCTCCATGTCATTTTGTCGGGAACTTGGAAAATTGCCGTAGGGTAGGCACCTCAGATGAGTGTTGCGGAAGATGTGAACGGACTGCTGACTAACGTCTGCGTGGGGCGGTGCTAGTAGGTTGGCGCATGCAGGAACTCGGCCGTATCGTACAAACGGGGCCTACGCCTCCTGTCAATCTAACGTGGGGATCTACCGTGTATGATGAGGCTGGGATGTTCGTCATGACCGACTGACTACATGCCCGCCTAATTCCCCTTTACCTCCTCGGCCTCACTATCTGCGATTTCTATAGCTATCCCTAATTGCGGCTCTTTTGCGTCTTTGTTCTATAATCTTCTTCAATTGGATCCGGCCTCTTGTTGGTCCTCGCGGAGCTATCGAACCACCCGTCTCCCATCTACCTTATCTCCCCTCGCCGTGAGGTCCGCCATCATGGCCCCCAAGATCGAGGCGCAAGAAATCGAAACATACTGGAATATTTTCTCGACCCGGACAGGCGGAGGAAAGTTTCTTACCGGCGAACAAGCCGCACCGGTATTGCAAAACAGCGGTCTCCGGGATGATCAGCTAGAACGAGTATGGGACCTGGCAGATGTGGATAATGACGGGAACTTGGACTTTGAGGAATTTTGTGTTGCTATGCGACTGATATTTGACGTTCTCAACGGGGTATGTGAGGATATCTGACCGACCCATCCCTTCCCAGAAACGCACGGTTGCTGATTTACATGAGTCCAAAGGAGTATCAAGATGTACCAAAGACCCTTCCCGACTGGCTGGTCCCGGAGTCCAAGGCGCATCTTGTCCAGGCCACCCGAGCGATCACAGGCAAGCAACCGCAGTTCGAGCAAGTGGAGGACGAGTCAGAAGACCTTGGCCTGAAGGACGGCTTTGACTGGTACATGAACCCAAAGGACAAGGCAAAGTACGAGCAAATCTACCAAGAGAACCGCGACATGCGCGGAGAAGTACCATGTGCGCCCTTCCACCAACTTCCCTGAAGGACCCCCGAATCAAGGTGAATGCTAACCCCCAAGGTAGTCAATGCGCTTGAAGACCTCTACGAGTCGCTAGATGTCCCCGATACCGACATCCGCTCCGCCTGGAACTTGATCAACCCATCCGCCTCGGCCGCCATCAACAAAGATGCGTGCCTGGCCTTCCTCCACATCCTAAACAACCGACACGAGGGCTTCCGCATCCCTCGCACAGTACCCCCATCCCTGCGATCGAGCTTCGAGCGCAACCAGATCGACTACCAGGTCGACAACCAGCGGGGCGGGGCGAACTCGCGCTGGGCGGCCAAGGCCGACGAGTCCACCAGCACGGGACGGAAGGCCAAGTTCGGCGAGCAGTACCTGACGCGCCTGGGCCGCAGTGGGTTCAAGACTTCAGGAACAGACTTCTCCACCGAGAAGACGGAGGACTGGGAGGAGGTGCGGCTCAAGCGGCAGTTACAAGACCTGGACGAGAAGCTCCAGAAAGTCGAGGAGGTCGCCGAGAGGCGGAAGGGCGGCAAGCGCGACTCAAAGCCTGCACTCGTAAAGAAGGAACTGGACCAGCTGCTTGAATACAAGCGTCGACAGTTGAGAGAGCTGGAGGAGGACTCAGGGAAGGGCTCCGGCGGAAGCCTGAAGAGCATCTCTGATGATTTGCAGACCGTGCGGGAGCAGGTCGAAGGCCTCGAGTCGCATCTGAGGACCCGCCAGCAGGCATTGGATGAAATTCGACAGCAGATTGAGAATGAGAAGGCAAGGTAAATATTTGGTAAGAGAGGGCTGTCGTGGGGATGCCGCGAGGGAGAGAGGGTATATTGAGAATTTACGCTGTATCACAACTATTAGTGGCAAATACATACTAGACAAAGCTGCGTCAAACACTCTCATACGTTCCCATATCTAATGTTTCGTCCCTTTTGAGGTCATCTGGATGGCGACAGCACCTATTTGTAGTGTGGACTACCTCTCTACCAGCCGGACATCTAATTCAATGGTACCTTATCAGGGCCATAAAAACAAATTATTAAGATTGGTAACCACCCTGAACTGTTTATTGTTAACTTATTGCGGCGGTTATCGTTACCATTTAGAAAATGCCGAATCTATAACTTGCACGATAGGATAGAGTCCAAGTGTTATTGGCCACTTGGTTGGTTACGGTGTTGTACCTCATCGAACCCATGCGCCTACCTTCGTCTTAATGACTTGGCCTGAGAATATCCTTCCACTTGTCCTCCAGAAAGAGATGCGACGACTTGTTGTTGGACCATTGAGAAGAATGGTACCAGAAAACACCAATGTGATGAAGGTCGTCATCTTGGGGATGATGTGAATAACGGCTCCTCAGGAGTGGCATGTGCTTTCCTGAGCAGGTTTGAGATCCGAGCCCGCCAAGATCCTTCTCCTAAAACGCATTCCCATACACATCACAATTTGACTCGAGGGACTTGTTTGTACGTCAAAGAGCAAAAGAGGCGTACGCAGGCCGGAACTTTAAATGGTGGACCAAGGATGGGGAGCGATGTGGAGATTTCGGCCTATCCCGCATGCTACCCGAGTCTTCTGCAACCCAACAATCACGTATGTAGGGCGGTATTTGCACATGTACAACGGTGCTCATAGGTCTACAGTCTCTTCACTTGGTTCAGGTTGGTATCGTGTGCAATGCTAAGTAATATTGTATGTATACTAGGGCCATTAGGTTAATACGTACAGAGCGAGCTTTGGGGCAAGCCCTCTTTGTCTCACATTAGAATGATAACTACCGTCAGGCGGTAGAAGGTATAAATGCAAAGGAAAAATTATGTACCCATCCGAAACACGCAAACACCGTCCCCTCATGTGACCAAACGCTCACTTGCAACAAGAACTGAAAACAAAAGTCGTCCAAACTCCATGGTATTTTTGTGGAGCCGTACGGGAAAGAAGAGAATCTTGCACATGTAGGTTACAGGACACGGCCTGTTAGAGTAATTCAGCGTGATCGGCTGCTCCATTCATAGGACTCATCAAGTCGTGGCCATGCCGAGAAGATGCTGGATTCCATCCTCTCTCATTGATAAATCAATCCACCTCCTTCTCCTTCTGATTTACCTCCAAGTCAAGAAGGTGCGGTTTAGAGAAGGGCGGCAAAACCAGCGGCAGCAAGGAGGAGCGGCATGGCAGCTCCAGCGATGGAAGCACCATTTCCAGTGGGGACTGCGGATGTGGCGCTAGGGCCAACAACAACAGTAGAGCTCACTGTGACGACTGGCTTGCTGGTGGCGGTGCTGTTAGAACCAGATCCGGGAGTGGTGACAGGCGTGGAAGCCTTGCTGGGGGTGGGGGTGCTAGAAGCCGAAGGAGTAGGGGTGATGCTGGCAGGTGCTGAGGTGGATGAAGCAGCAGAGGACGAAGAAGACGAAGCCGATGAGGTAGAGGTGGAGGAGCTTGAGGCGCTGCTGCTGGTGACCTTGGGAGTGTGAAGGCTACCGGAGATGCTGTAAGCAGCGGCGCACTGAGCGAGATCCATAGAGTCAGGGCAGCACCAGGTCTGGTTGGCAGAGTCGTTGGTGCAGTAGAAGCCCTTCTCGCAAGAGTCTGGTCAATTGTTAGCTTTGCCTATATATGGTGGCACGGCGTGTCTATGCAGACACAAGCGATTGTGTTAGTCTGGGGAAAACGTACTGCCAGTGCCATCACCACAGCACTTCTGGGCCTTATCCGGGTTGTAACAGTGCTTGGTATCGCCGTTGGCAGCGCATTCGGTGTAGCCTTGGCCACAGGCTTCGGCGCAAGTATTGCCATCACCACACTGAGTCTGGTCGGGAATATAACCACTAGTGTCACGACGACCAAGGCTCATGCCGAGAACAGGCATCATGGCAGGGCGGTAAGGTTGAGGCTCAGCAGCGGCGCTGGCAGTGCCGGCCAGAACGGCGAAGGCGATGGCAGATCGGAAGAGCATTGTGAAGGTTGTTTGGAAGTTGAGTGGATGGAGGTTGCGTATAAAAGGTACGGAGGTACTTTGGTGATTGAAGAGCAGAGACACACTTTTGAAGTCGACACGAAGATAACAATGCTAGCGAGAGACACGAATAGGTGCTGTTCAAGGTGAAAGAGTGTGGTGCTTGTTTGGCCCAAAACGAGTGAGGGGAGCGAAGCGTTGACGCGAGAAGCAGAAGGACTGTGCTTTGCGACGAGGAGAAGAGAAAAGAGATGTGCGCCAGGTGGGCAGCCGCGTGGAGGAGGGATCAATGGGTTTAATTTCAGACAGTCGCCGGCAGGTGGTGGCCTGCAGTGCCTGCTCCATGCTGCCCGGGGGTCACACAGTCACGCTCGTCCCTGCCGACCTGGTCTGGGTGGTCATTTCCCCATTCGAGGGACGGGCCCTGGACTCGGTGGGCGTTCCTGAGTTAAGCCGTTTGTGGCTCGTCGCCAATCTTGGCCTCATTACCTGTGTCTCCAGCGCGAGCCCAGGTGAGACCACTGATTGGCGCCTGCCGCTCCCACCAGCTCCTGCGCACTAAATCAGCTGCTCTTTTTAGAAGTGCGCTTTCATTTTATTCTGGCCAGTGCCTGCGACTACCGGCACCTGCTATCTACGTGGGAGCCCTCCATCCTATCGCTGGTGTGCCCTGGACTCGAGACACTGGGCGCGTCACGGTTGATACGTAGCCCCGTCGCCCAACGAGCAGGTATGAGCCCAACGTGTTCTAAGGCAGGACAGGTCGGGCGAGGGCCAGAAACAGCCGTTGAAAGGAAGCCTCCCTTGCCCGCACACGTTGGACGGCCCTCTCGTCCTCGTCCTCAACCTCCACCAGTCATTTAGCTTCTAGCGCCAGTACCCCTGGTGCGCCTCCTCCACTGTCTGTTTGAGAATAAGGCCGGGCCCAATCAGCGGATGCGCTGTGGCCCCAGAGCATGCAGGTCAGCGAAAAAATGGCGTCCAGGGTCAGCATGAGAGAAGGTCTGTGCACACCGGCTCTTTAGCCCAGGAACAGGAACCTCTGGCTGGCCATTGGCGTCGCACACGCAGATTGTTCTTCATCAAGCGCATGCGCCGTCGTTGCCCGGACAGTCAGAGGGAGGGACACTGGTCTGGCTTTAATTTAATTGATCTTCTTCGCGAACATCGGTAGACACCACATGCTGCCCCGCCACTGTTGGCTGCCCGCCTGGCCCATTATTTCCTTCCCGTCTCCAGGCGCCACCATCGCCAACAACTTCACAGTGCTGTCTATTAATACCTACCTACATTTAGCTGCTTACGTAGCACTCCTCCAGGAACATCATTCCCTTTTCAGCCTCCCACCTCATTCATTTCCTTCCACTGCCGCAGAAAAAAATCCTTTTTATGCTGACGCTTCCCTTTTGCTGCTAATTTCTGGCAGCCTTCGGTAATTAATAGCCCTGTGGCTTGCGGGAAGGTTCGCAGCTGCAGGTTCCCGTGATACATGGTTGCATCCTCAATCTGCACCACACTCCAATAAGGGCATCCTCAACACGGCCATTGACCAACCACAGACGAAATTACATCCTGCATATGCATTGAACTAGACTGTTCCCGAGATAATCGCCCGTTACGTACGTCATGCACTACATCGCCCTTGCATGAAGTGTGAGAGGTGTCTGTCACAGTCTTCGACGAATCAGTCTGCCCTGCATAGAATATCCCAATGCTTTCATCGTGCGCTAGTAAGTTATGAGTAAAACGTACATGTTGCAACCAGCCACCACTTGTTCGCTGGAAGCTCAAGTTGAAAGTAAACGCCCGCGGATCAAAATCAAGACTAGTACATGCTTTCTCTCTCCTGGTCCAACCCAACAACAATACAAGAATCCAGTTGGTAGAAAGTGACATCAGGTAGCCTGGTCGATCAACACTTGTCGCAGCCACCGTTTGAGTTTCAACGTCCCATCTCAATCTGGTTGCTTCCCTTCCAGCCCTAAACGCGACCAATCTTCTCACCAGAATTAAACACTGCTTAGGTTCGATGGAACCTTGCCAGGTCCCCAGATAGCCATTTCGTGTGTACTCGTACAATCTGCCTCACCTCTTCTTCTTCTCTCGTCTTGTGCTTCCGTTGCCTCTTGTTCTTACACTGCGGCGGCTCCGAGCCTAAGGGTCGTCGCCGCCCAGCTTGGCGATCCACTTGTTCATCCCGGAGTACTTCTCCTCGAATGTCTTCTGAAGTTTCTGCCCAGCTGCCCACATTGGATCGCCCGTCTTCCAGTAGATGAAGCAGTTGTCGAAGATCTGACGCATGTCGACAAGAAATTCGGCCTCGTCCTTGTACTCGTGGCGGTCCATTTTCGCTTTGATGGTACCGAGGTCCATGGGTCTCTTCACCTTCTCAAGGTAGTCCGGTACACCATCTTGTTCAGGCACGACGGGGTCTTTGAAGGGGCCAACGAGACGAGTCCAGAACCCTATTCATGGCCACGGTTAGCAAGCAAAGATACCCCAAAGAGGCTGAAACACCAAACGGCGACAGAAGAACCGTGACTCACCAGGACCCGAGAGCATCCTCGTCAATAAGTCAGCGCAAAATTCAAGCTTCTGTGCTGTTGTAAACGAGCTTGCGTCTACCACAGTTCCACTAGGTCGACGTTTTGGCGCTTGTGATTTTGGAAGAGATGTGCGAGAAGCCTTTCGTTGCAAGGTGCCGGCGCCCTTTCCACCATCCACAGGCAACGGCACGGGGCCCGAGCCGCTGCCCAAACGACCCTTCTTCGGGTGAGGAGTTGATTCCTCGTCGGCCTTGTCGTCCAGATAGTGCACGTTCTTCCGAAGTGCACTGTTGAGACCACTGGGGAAAGATGCTGTAGAAGTCGGGTCGGGGGATACTTGGCCAGGCTGCTGTGTATCAAACGAGCTCATTGTCACAACTAGCTCGCTCAGAACCTCTTGAGGGAGTGACTTGGCGAATTCGGCTCTGGCGTCAGACGACCTCATATACTCGGCTGCCCATGATAGAAGAAGTGTTCGAATCGAAGAACCCTCCGGGGTATCCTTCCACACCTGGATGAGCAGCGGCGTCGATGGGATCCGTCCGGTGATTCGTCTACAATCGATCATAGCGTCGAGAGTCTTCTCGCAAAGACCATCAACCTCAAGCTTGTGGGCAAGTTTCCACAGCCCGACCAGGGATTCGTAGGAGGGCGTCTTGGAAACATCGGCAATCACCTGACCAGTGTACAGGTAATGCTGTATTAAGCCAAAAATCTCACTCGTTGCCTCTGGAAGTTTCACGATGTGTTCAACCGTATCTTCGCTCTGCTTCTCGAAATAGTCGCGGAAGAAGACCGATCGAGAGCAGAGGAAGTCCTTCTGGATCCCGAATGGTAACTCGTCGGAACCGACGAGAATTATCACGAAAATAGGGTGAGGTTGACTAAATCACATGGTCAGGTTCCATTCGTCTGTAAAGTAAGGGTGTACCGCTTACAGCCAAGAGAAGGGCGGCGCCGCATTTACGTGGCCATTTTGGCTTGGAGGCTCGACAGGCCCTGGCTTCTCATTTCCCTGATCCGACATTGCAGTTTCTAGCATGATCTCTCAGTGTTCTGTGTTGAGACTTGATACAATAATGGATGGGCTTGGGCGCGTCAAGGCTGGGGGGCAGGGATTTGCCAATCACGCTCGGTTGGATTTGAAATCACAGTGCAAGGTTTTCTCTGAAAGAATTCATCTTCCGAAACAGAGCGTTTGGGGCATGGGTCTCAGGAGGTAAAGTTTGGTGCAAAAAATGAATGCTAGGAAGATATAGGCCTTACCTACCTTATCCCATCCAGAAAACAACAGGAGACCCGAGGGAGGCTGGGTTTGGATGCCCCCAATTGAAGGGTTCAACAAAACCTGAACCACTCTCAATCCCAGTCCGGTAACCGATGAGAGTATCTGCTTCGAAGGCCTAAAGTAATGAGATGGATTGATTACAGAGACGGCGCAGCGACCTGATTTTGTGACGACGTGATCTCAATGTTGAATGAAGTTTTGCCAGTCATGGCGTGTTGGGAGATTTGGGCCTCGTCCTGATTCGCTCTTGCTGCTTACGTGATTTATTAGCATTCCTGTGCATGCCAACATCGTGCCCCTACCCTACACTCCAACCTTACCAAACCTGCAACTTTTGAACATCTGCACGACTGGCATCTCTTCAATCGCCTCCAATCCAATCCGAATATACTGGCTTGTAAACACTTTTCTTGTTATCACATCTGGGCTGCATACGTATTCGTAGTTTTCATACCGGTGAGTTTGTGATTTATCGCTGCCACACTTACTGTGAACCCTTATGGCCATGTAACTTCAGCCAACTCACAGAGCTCGTCATCTTGGCAATACCAATTCGGACTGTCTCCGTTGTGAATGCAACTCTACTGCATGATCTAGATCTACGCCCATTGATATACAGATTTACTGATGAAACCTTGCAAGAAGCCAACGAATAAAACCGACCAACCCTACGGCTTTAATCCGAGGTGTGAGCGTGAACCTTGAAGTGAACTCATGGAAATACTACGCCACTACAATCTAAGAATACCATTGTTCTTATCATTTGCCTCTCCATCACAAACACGGCACGTCTCGATATCCTCCCCTGGAGACAAGAGATTTCGTCTACTGGGGCGTACCATCTTCTCTGGAGAATCTGGGATTGACGTTGCTCAACGTGTGGCGATCTGATAGCTAAGGATGTCCCAGCAAATGGGCCTCGCCTCGCCTCGCCTCACCCGGACCGGTTTGGTCCCCAGTGCTGGAACCAGAAAATCAACCTGGCGTAATTAACATTATGTCTGGGTGAAATCACCAGTCCACATTACTGGATAAAAACACACATCAATAACACTATAATTATTGATCCTGTCGTCATGCCATTGCAACAGAAGTTACCCACCGCACGCAAGCGATCCCTGGGCTGCTACAATGGTTACGTACATCGAAATAAGCACTATCAAGGGAGAGACCTTCATGCGCTGTCCCTCAAATTCCTCCCCCCATTTCAATGGGCAATTGGGGACTGACATCATCTTTCCCGGGGGAGGCCAATTAAAAACGACGCACACCCAAATTGACGGCCCGTTCGGTTCGGGGAAGAACTAACCGGGAAACTCACCCTCAAGCACATTTGACAGCTCAGCAGTTCATGCCCGCCGGCGATTCATTCTGGCATAGTACATATTCATGCAGAGACTTGAAACAAAAAGAAAAAGCTCGGAGGATGGAGTTTCGAGCTCCATCCTGAACACTCTGCTCGCTGCAAGGCGCCCGGCCGGATACGGCACACTTCTCGGCTAGGGCACCCCACGTGTGATTGAATGAGGCTGTTGGAGAGCAACGACAAGGTACGTACCGTGAACAAACACCCCATTTATGTAAGGCAATTGCAGGTGGTGGGGGCATGGAATAATTTTTTTCGTTCTTTTTTTCTCCTTATCAATCAGTACTTCGGTAAAATCATGTGTAAGGAAAACAGGTAGCAAAAAACCACGCACACCGAATGAGTGGTTGAGCGAGCAGCCACAGGTCGGGGGGATACCCAGTCCTCAGGGCGGACGGTGTGTTGCCTGTTCCTGTCAAGCTCTCTGGCCTCCCGTCCTCGCTACAACCCTGATCCAGGCGACAAGGAGGGGGTTTCCTCACCACCGGGACCATGCGCAGTGGCTGATCACTGCATCCAGATGATCTACACTCATCTGCACGTCGTCCCTGAATGCTGGTGCTGCATGAATCTGACCCTACGGAAAGAGCTTAAACATGATGGGAGAGGGCGTGAGAAAAAGCCCGACCGCCTTTCCGTCGACCTGCAAGCCATCCGGACACAAGTACCCACGGAATCACGGAATAGATCGTATGTAGGCATACAAATAGGGAAAAATCAGACCAGTCGTCACCAACGCTAGAGGCATGAGCAACTTTTCAGGGCTGTTGTTGGCCCCAGTCTTGGCGAGCTAGGGGGGTAAACTGATGCTGAAGAGAAAAAAAGTTGTGCCGACTGTATCCTGTAGCAATCTGCTCATTCCATTTATTACCTAACTGGTTCTGTGTTGTGGGCTGGCGTGGAGCACGAAATAAATCCTGCTCTTTCACGATCAATGCTATCTGTCTGTGTGTTCACTCAACGTCTAGCCTGAGATGTCAGATGGTTTCTCAAAAAAAAATCACCTAATTTCAGAAGCCCCAGGCCAAGGAAACTAAGCGTTCACTGTTGAGGTTCTCATGACCAGAGAATCCCAGTGCTGAGGAAATTTCCATCCATTAGTTGACCCGTTTAACTGACCATGGGTTGAAGGTGACGATAAATGCCGCGCAGTTTAGGTGAGTAGAGGAGAGAGAGAAAATAGCACGGTGTGGCTCTAGAGGGAAATTCTCGCCGAAGGTTTCCTATGTACCTCGTCTCCACAGGTACATTATCCCGAAGGGGGTGGGATTATGGCCATGCCCCGGCACACTAATTATCCGGTTTTGCTCGCCCAGCTGTTGGCGGCATGCGCGGACGACACTTGGGATCACAATGTGCTCTGTGCTAGTTTGAAGCCTCCTCTAAGGCTCTCTGGGGTAGGGCAAGCTTGCTTGGCTGTGACAATCCGCAATGCGGTCCAGAGTTTCGTCGACTCGAGCTTGCCCCATACACAACTGGGGGCATTGAGAAGCTGTGGGGACAGATAAGCGCTCTGGATGCTTCAAATCAGTGCAGAAGATGGGAGCTGTTCAAGCTCCCCCAGACTAGACCAACCTTGGTTGAGCCTAGAACACTTATCAGGCTGTCAATGCCAGCTAATGCTCTTATCAGTCACTCACGGTGGAACGGAGCAAAGCCGGCGGATAAAATGCATTTTTCCAATTCAAGCTTCTGTTGGTTAAGTTGCGCCCGAATCATCGCCCGCATGTGAGCTTTGTGGAGAGCCAGCGCTCAGTGGGGTTGATTTGCCAGTCAGCCGGTCTGGACCTGTATCTCCTTCAACTTCACCCTCATCCCAATCTGAACCATCATCACTTCGGCCAACCGCCTGGCCGAGGAGAATATCCTCGCTTCCTTGCCATTGTGAAGGTGGCGGTGGTAGGTGGGCGTCGTCCTCATTCGCCCATCCGTAATCCTCGTCGTCTTCGCTATCAGGAACCTCAAAGTCTGTGTTGCCCAGTTTCCTCTTGTGTTGCGTCATGGGTGCAATACCCGAAGATCGACGGCCTCCGCCATCGTAGCACGCGCTAGCCACGCCGTACTAAGTCTGGGGATTAATACTCGACACTCATTTGTTGGGGTTCGGGTTAACGGGAGCTTCCTACTTACTCCGCTCACACTGAAAGCTGCAGCGTGCTCCATCATGTCCTCAGAAACTTTACCATCAAGCTTCTGCAGGCCGGCTAAGAAAATGCTGCTAGGCGTGTTATCCTGCCAGCTCCAGTCTCTGAATAGCGCGATACGCGTCGAAATATTCTGTTCCCAAACACTCGCAGCGACAGCCGGGATCAAGCTGGCTCCTCTTTCAAGTCGCATCTTAGTGGCGCATTGCGAGAGAAGGACGACTGCACACTTTCTAGTTGACGCCAGCGTCTGTAAGGCTTTCATGATGGCCTGGAGAGCTTGCTGCCTTTTGGCAAAGGCGCTAGGACCTAGATAACCGATGTCAGCGTGGCGAGAACGTTGTCGATCGATTTTGCGGGATGACGGCACCTTTGCTGTGTAGCATTCCTCGTTGCGCATCTTTAGGTTTCGGAAGCACGGAATTGATCAATGTTGTGAGCGAACTAACAATGAAGAGGGAGGTGTTTTCCGGTATCAGCCTTGGCGAAGGCTTTGAGACGAGTGCGATAAAATGTGGTAAGGTTAGACAGTTGTAATGAGTGACGCCTCCTAACGCCTCCTCACTTTCTTGGGGGTCTTTGTGGGAGTCGGATTCCGACATCTGGGATTTTTTCGCAACGTCAACCACCTTGGCCATCCGGTCAAGAGAGACCGACTGGAAACAGTCTAAAATTTGGCGTCAGTTTGGAGGGCCTCCAAAGCGAGGATTTTGAAGTAGGATACAGACCTACCCATACGACGGTATCGCCATTTGCTAGTGCGTTCGCCGTTAACTGTATGCTTTTTGGCCTTGTTAGCCACGTAGATCGCATGAGTCTCATCTGGCGATCCCATCTCACCCTATGGCCGTCTTTCCAGAGCCTGGGGGACCCCATAGCTCAGTGACTTGGCCCCGTTTGATTCCGCCGGTGACATCCAAGTCCTGTGACTCTGAAGACGCCGCGCTCTGCAATTTCTTGTCCAGGTCTGGCAGCCCAGTTGAAACGTACGTGGACGAGTCATCTTTCAACTCGTCTAGAATGGCAGAAGCGCTCACCGTTGGCAGTCGGTCTTCCGTGTCTTCCGTTAGTCCTCGGATCGTGAATGATGCACTTATCAAACTCACGCGAACTGGGCACATCGAAGTTGGCGACGTCATGACCATGAATGGAATGGTAATCCATTTCCTATCGCATTCAACCCATCCATCCGAATCTGCTCTGGATAACGAGCGCTGCAGTAGTGAATGTCGAGTTGGTATCCCCCTTTCCTTCCTAGTCTCTCAACGAAGTTTGGTATGGTAATCACGATAGCTCAAGGATAATCACGTTCACTTGGCAGGCTACGACACGTCGTCACGTGAGCAACCCCACGGGTAGGTATCTACCTATCTTATCGTCCTCCACTTTCACATGCACAATTAAATCCATACGTATGAATCTTGTGAAGATACATACCTAGGTGTGCAGTAGCTGGCTTTGTTGTCATTTAATTTGAGTAACCCGGTGAGTCCAAATCATTCTGATGCCTGCCTCTGCAGACCCATTCGACGCCTACCCTAGGCGCTCAAGCCAAAGCGACCGACATGATCAATTGGCTCCAAACTTTCCATCATACGGATCATCAGAGCTAAGAGCACCCGCCTCTGTTCGAAGGTACCATGGCACTCTAAGATGGCCCAAGGCCACGCTAGCCGGCATCCCATGCCCTGGGTCATGTGTAAGGGCAAAATGATGCACTCACGTTCAATGCAGCACATCATCTGCTATTTTTTCTGGGTTCCCTTTTGTATGGCAAGCACCTGAGGAGGGTCTCGGGAAAGTTCGGAACTGCTACGTTGTGAGATCGCGATGCCCTCGAGCCAGCCCCAGTGAGAACTCCCAAGACCCTCCTCCGCTTGATTCCTCCTCTCGTATGCTGCGGCGCAGCTCAACGATGGCTTCTGGCCCTGGGGAAATGCAACACCATAGGCTCGGTTAAGAGGCCAGATAAGGCTTCCCCCATCCTTCCATCCATTTCTCCAGAGATAAGACCACATGCCAAGGCTCGGATTGAAGTCGGGAAGCCTTGGGGGGAAAGGGGGGTGTGAGATCAGGGTGCTAGGCCATGAGTTGATTACCCCAAACAGGCAAAGGGGAGGGGAGCAAAACTAGAGATTAACATGCTAGGATCTAGCCGTCGATTGTGCCACAGCTAGCCGGTCGACAGCCGGTCCAGCCTGACCGGACTGCTTGGCGCACTGTCGCCAGACCTGACTTCGGGGAATGATCGGCCGAGCAATTTGACGCTATAGTGGTGCAAATTGAGGAAAGCATTTTCCGAGTTCTGTGAGCTCGCCTCGAAGCTAAATCCGGGGTAGTTGCGCTGATAAGCTGCAATACATACTCAAGCGGTTCAATTCATACCAACACTCGATTGGTATCAATGTCTGAAGTCGGACTGTGAGCTTGGTGAAGTGTGGGGAAGTCTAAACTGGTGATGACATCCATGATGTCCAAGTGGCCATCACTGCTGGATGCGTTATAACTCCATACGGTAATTCGAAGATAGTCTACCTTCCCCGCGGGGACAGAGAGTTAATACCCAGAAAGGAACAAGCCAACTTGGTCGAAAAACGCCAATGACAGCTTCGGGGTCTGTTCCGATATCTGGGTGAAGTCTAAGCCGGAGAAGAGACTACATCGAAAGAGGCAATCTTTGGCTCACGCTTCTCGACCAAGGAAGGCCGGCACGGCACTATCAACCTTGGTATCTGTTATCCTCTGGATAACGATCTTCTCTTGGGTTCTATTCGATACCTCACCTGACCAATTCCACCAAGCTCCGTCGACCGATGGTTATGATTGCTATGGAGGCCTGGACCTGTACAGAACCACATAATACCCCACGCTGGACTTGTTTACCTGAGAGAGGCATCGGAAAAGGGGTGAGGGTCCTGGGGTTCATAGCGTACCCGTACTTAGACTGCGTGGAGGAAAACCTTGGGTCTTTCTCAGACCACTCCGCGGCAATCATTGCTTCCGAAGCTTCCATTGCCAATGCTCGCCTCGCATGAGCACAACTGTCAGGCCTCAGAATGGTTATGCGCGGAGGATGAGATGACACATCGGGGTATGTTCGGCGTCACCCAGGACGAAACATGGCCTGGCCATGATGATGATGGCAATAATAGTCGTCAGCACGAGCCTTACGGAGCCCCGAGTTGCGCGAGTGGACAAGGCTGCTGCTTTGTTCTAGTGGGGCAGAAAAGAAGCCAAAGAGAAGGCGAGCTCTCTCCAGACTTTTTCCCACGTGGGGGTGTCAACAGAGGCACACCAATTCTCAATGTGGCAGCTTTATCCCTCCAGTCTAATGAGGCTCAGCTCTGGAAGGAGGTGCTGATAAGGAGGGGGGCGACAATGGTACGGCTCTCTGCCAAGGCAATAATAGGCCATAGATGCGAAAACTGTGCCTCCCTCTGACCATTTCGCATCAGCACCCTGGCCAGACACGGTGGCTCGTTCGGCGTCACCGACTCGGCCAGAAGAATCACCGTAAGAAGTGGGGTGGACTTTGCTGGTCTGCCACGGTAGAAGTATGGGGAAGATTATGATGAAGTGAGGCGCATGGTGAGGCGAGTGGACACCGAGGACTGTCACTGGGGGCTAGCCTAGTGGATTGCGCAATTACGGTGCCCCGAGACGAGGCCATGACGAGTTTTCCCGGCGCTTGTGCGTGCTGCTTGGCTTGTGCTATGCGTGCTGAGCTGTTGCATCTTCAGCGGCCTACCCGCCTGTACGTACGACAGTGCCTGCCTCCCGAGAGCTACCCTCTTTTCCCCAGACCAGATCATCGCTACTGCAGGTCCCCAATGCACTCAGGGTCCAGAATATCATCTACCCAAACTGTTATCTACCGCTACTACATATCATCGAGATTCCGTACCACATCGTAAATGAGGAAAAAAGGGGTTGCATGCGAAGGAATCGGACAACATAAGCCACTGTGCCATTGTGTCAGATTATGAGATGAATGCTGCAACGAACAGCCTCAGCCACGCAATACTATGCTCTGTACCTGGAACTTTGTCCAGCTCACGCCTCCTAATTGGAGGGGCTTCACCGAACGGGCTGCATCGAAACCGATGCATAGCATAGCATTATTTGTACCATGCAGGAGTGTAACCAGCCCGAGGCGGCGTTCCTGGCCCGCCATCCGTTCGCTTCCTTGACCAGACAGAGCAAGCACCATGCTCATGCACAAAGGACCCAATGCTTTGGGGCAGGAGCTGTTATCTCTGGGGTCATGGGGTGACTGGGGTAGAACGAAACTCGCTGGAGATACGGGGTAAGGTTGAATCATTGCCGCGCCCGTAGCTATCTCTTCTGCCTGCCTGGATTTCGTTTTCCATAGTCCGCCGATGCCTTCGACTGCTCATACACGATGGTAATTACTCCACAGGCAACGCAGCCCTTATCTGGCCCCATCTTATTGTGGCGAGGGATCCCGGGAGGAGGGGGGGCGTGTAGAAGGCCCTACCCCAGCATACATAGATCTGAGGTGATTGTCCAGGGATCCAACGCGATTGCCTAGTGCACCAGACCAGATGGTGGGTGCCTGGGAAGGTGATCGCGAGAGAACAAATCATCGAGGAATGCTCAATGGGGTGAGCTGACGGCTGGCTATGGCGGAAGCTGACCTGTCGTCATTCGTATGTCGCTACCACGACTGTAATCCCCCTTGATGGTTGTCCCGGCATATCTCGCTGGAAATTCTGGAGGTGGCGCTTCCCGGCATCGACATCCATGTGCTCAGGAGATCGACGGAGATAGGCAGCCAGCGTAGTGTGGACTAGGCCACCTTCCATGCCAAGGGAAGATAAGCAGGTACCTGCTCATCAATCATTTTGTCTGGGGAGAGTGTCCAAAGGGTCTCAAAACCGAGTCAAACCAACCGCTAGCTCTTCCGCTTGGCCGTCTGGGGCCGATTCCAATCCCGAGCCACCAGGGGGAGTAGTTCGGAAATGAAGCCGATGCAATTTATCCTGGGAGGATCAAACAGCTCCTGGCAGATTGAACACGCAGAACGACGAGTCTCCCGCAGCGATCGGAAACCAAGGGAAAAATCGAAACGTCTGCTGACTGGAATACCGCATGTTGTCTTACGAGAACGCGGTAATGGCTGACCAGCACGCGTTACATTGAACGGAAAGGGGGTGGAAGAGAGGTGCAAGGTAATGGCCATTTCAGGCAGTGGTGGATGGTTCGGATCAGACCAATTAGGGCACCAGGAGCCCCCCACGCCAGCGGATTTCCTTTTTCTCATGATCTGGGGGCTCCAAGCTTTCCAAGTCGGTATTGCATTGGCTCGCATAATAGCTCTGGGACAGGGAGGTCTAACCCAAAAATTCCTGAGACTCATGCGGCACGGAAATAATAGCCTCCCTGCATACAACACGGGGGAGGAAACGGCAGAGTTGCGATGCTAATATAGACCGCCTGTCCGCCAGCAAGGGAAACAACCCTGGGTGAGGTCGGACCGCAGCCTCCCTACTGTGCATTGACCTCGTAGTTAGACACGGTTCTCGTGAAGGGCGTCTGATGATGGAACTTTTTTCTTCTTCTTCACGCTGTTACCATTGCTTTCTGAGCAAGGTATGCACATGCTGTCTCAGACCACCGCATCACGCCTTGACCCCCCTGCCCAGTGGCAACAGAGGGTCAAAGGTCGCTAATAACAACTGCTCACATTTTCCAATATGGCGGACATAAAATGTCCCCGCAAGCCTAGACAGTTAGCGAGGATGGGGTTGGAGTCTTGGTTCTTTTTTTCTAGCCCTGAATATGTGCCTGGCTGCCCTGACTCGGCTCGAGTCGGAGAAACGCCGACTTGACCGAGCAGGCCATCGGCGTTCTTCCCCCATGCACCGTAATGAGCAGCTACTTCTCTAGTGCACTCAAAGGTTATGCCACGAAAAGGAGAAACTCGTGAGGTTGCTTTGGAATGGTGCTGTGCATCCGCATCCTCCGCTGGCACTTCAACGTGAAAAGGGGGGCTGGGCTGAGTTACGCATCTCAGAGTTTGGGCCGAGCCGCTGCTCGGTATCTTCGCGCTGGACCCCAGGTCTGATAATTCCAAGACATTTTTGTGTGTGGCGATGAGAAGGTTAGAGCTTAGCGGTGGTTTACGCGTTCTAGTGTCGGGAAATACGCTGGACTCGGGATGGGTCCTTGAGGACAGGTCCCGGTCCGGTTGTGGGCAGAATGTCGTGTGATAATCGGATCCTGGGCGGCGGCAGGCACGCACTAGAAAGGTAATATGGCCTTGGTAGTTCGGGTGGGCGGTCCAGGCAGAGCTGACGATGACCGTCGGCCAAGCCAGGGCTTGGGGATCGTGGAAGAGCCCTCTGGTGTTTCGTCCTGCTCTGTTCCTTGCTGATCGGGTGAGCGACCAGTCTCCCAGTTGATCGATGGAGGGATGGAGGGATGGAGGGGTGGTCACGCTGCCCATAGGCTCAGTGCTAGATCGCCTATGATTCCCTTGTCTATACTTTGCAACTGTTGTTGAGATGCCTGGTGACTCTTTCAGGAGATCCGATGATCCCCGTCCCCCCGTGAGACAACCGCAATATGCGAGTGTAGTAGATCACACGGGCTGGTAGGCGTATCGTTGCAGCCACCTTGGTAGTATATAGGCTATTCCTACTTCATTCCCAGGTCAACCAGTCCATCTATGGAACCAGCTGCTCCTGCAAAAGCAAGAGAGGCTGTATGTCTTAGGTTGCTATGTCTTCCAATCCTATGCGTCCGATCAGCCGAGCCATCTCTGACACACGCCCCCTCCATTGCCCCCACAAAGATGGATATCACATCATCTGTCTGCCCTTTACGCAATGGTCTAAATTTTTCATCCTACGTACTATTTTGCTGATGCGATGAACAGACGTGGATAGGTGTTTACGAAGGGTTAGGAAGTTAATTTCAGCCTGCATTCCCTCTTGCTCAAATGATGAGTTGTCCATCCGCCCGCATCTCCAGGTATCAATGAGTGAGTCTATCCTCTAGGATTGGAAAACGTGTTCAAAATGTCGGGGTTTCGGTAACTATTGGGCCTGATATTATGCACCAAGACCTGGCTCGTGGGATAGTGCCAATGCTCAGGCACGAAAGGGTACAATCAGGAGCAAGAAGAGTCCACGATGGACTGGTGACTCGAGATCCGGCACATTATGACACACCTGCCAGCAAACATCGAAAGGGACGAGAAAAAAACCACACAAGCCCCACGCCTTGAGCCTTTCCTCCGTCAGGATGGGGTGAGAGTCATGTACGTGGAGCAAGGAAAGGCGAGGGAGAAGAAAAAACCTTTATGTTCTCCCGGACCGAGTGCACCTCATGCCCCACACTTCCCTGGATTGTACAGTGTAGGCGCCTGGCCATGTACGAGCACATCTTTGCGTGCAAGCGGGGCGACGACTGGGGCGGAGTAACATCAATTCTCCTCGGGAAGGGGGAGGGGTGTGCCGTCGAAGTCATTCCCCAGCCAGGTCTCAGTCAGCGCCCCAGGCCCCCAGCATTGCTCTCCAGCTCTCGGCCAGACAGGTACGTACCGAATGATGGGGGGAGAACAGCGGCAGATGTGCAGATGTATCTTCCTTAGCGATGTACCACCGAGGCGCGGCCAGACTCGCACCCCCTCCGCCAGGCCCTTGCGGCGCTTCTCGCTCCCTATCGGAACCCGCTGGACCTGCTGTCCCACGGTGTTTCGAGCCCTGAGAGCTGCCCGGATATACCAGGCGACGCTGGCCCAGCCCAGTGGGAATAACCTGGTGCACCCAGTGTCGCCGAATTTTCTCCCCCAGCCAAGCTACCTTGGCCCCCCCCCCAACCCAACCCTTTCATCAGGGTGCCTGGAGAGACCCGTGGGAGCGACTTCAGACCACGCCCCCCCATCTCTTTGTCTGATATGTCCCTTACTCCTCCCCTCAGTTTTTCTTTTCCGGATGGCTAAGTCCACCCCCACCCACACTACAATCTTCTCATCCCCCCCAAGCATTACCGACCCCGGCCGAATTCTATGTATGGTCCCTCCACGCCTTTTAAAACACTTCCTCCCCCCGTCATAACCTTCTCGACTTCCGAAATCCTCCTTGCCAACTCTACAACTCGACATTCACCTACAACAAGTCCGACACTCAGCACTCGTTTCCAGTACCCGACAACAGAGACGCATCATCAGCTCAAGCTGAAGCATCATCCGGAACTACGCTACACACTGGCCATAGCCCAGTCTTCGATCCCCTCAACAACCAAAACTCAAATTACCCTGCTGCCCTCGTCTGGGCGCAAACAATCACATGCAGCGAGCACAGTCGGCCGTGAATTTTTCCAGCCTACTTAATCCAGCATCATCTGCGGACCAGGACAGCGAAAAGCCCAACCAGGCTGAAGGCGAAATGGCTAGCGCAGTCACCGTTCTGAAGCCCAACGGCCCAGTTCCTGGCGCCCAGTCCACCGAGAACAGCAATGAGTTGCCTCGCCCTTACAAGTGCCCTCTCTGTGATAAGGCTTTCCACCGTTTGGAGCACCAGACCAGGCACATTCGCACCCACACTGGAGAGAAGCCTCACGCCTGCCAGTTCCCTGGCTGCTCCAAGAAATTCTCTCGCTCTGATGAGCTGACTAGGCACTCCCGCATCCACAACAATCCCAATTCCAGGAGGGGCAACAAGGGACAGCTTCACCAGCAGCAGCACCAGCAGCCTCACCTCACCCACGAGGGTATGATGGCCCCTCCCCCGGCTCCCAAGACCATCCGTTCAGCCCCTACTTCGGCATTGACTTCTCCCAACGTCTCGCCTCCTCACTCGTACTCATCCTTTGCTCTTCCCCAGACCGGTCTGCACTCCCGCAACGGCGACATTTCCATGCTGGCAAAGGCCGCTCACCAGGTTGAGCGCGAGACATTGGCCACACCTTCGCACCACCACAACACCAACAGGCACCACCCTTACTACAGCCACAATCTCCATGGCTCTCGTGGACACCTCCCTACTCTTTCCGCCTACCAGATGTCCAGGACCCACTCCAGTGAAGAGCACAATGATGACCACTACACAGGAGCCCTGCGAAACATCAAGAGGTCGAGGCCCAACTCGCCCAACTCTACTGCCCCGTCTTCACCCACCTTTTCTCACGACTCTCTGTCCCCCACTCCTGATCATACCCCCATCGCTACACCGGCTCACTCTCCTCGCCTGAGGCCTCTGTTCTCTGGCGTTGAGCTGCCCGGCCTGAGGACCTTGTCTCTTCAGCACAACACAACCCCCGCTCTCGCCCCCATGGAGCCTCATTTCGATGCCGGTGCCCAGCCGTACCAGAGCCCACCCGCCATCGGACCTACTCGCACCGGATTGTCCTTGACCGACATTATCAGCCGCCCTGACGGCAACCAGCGGAAGCTTCCTGTTCCCAAGGTTGCGGTCCACGACCTGCTCTCGGACCCGTCTTACACTCACAGTGGCCGCAGCTCTTCAGCTAATAGTCTCGCCGGCACTGATCTGATGGACCGGATGTAGTTTTTCACCACATCACTGCTGCACCAATAATAATGACTTGACGATTTTGAGGGCACATCATATAGAAGGACATAGAAAGAGAAGGCGTTGCATGGGATTATATTACGGATTTGTACTACATGTACGAAAACCGAATAATGGACAATTTGGGAGGCACTTTCGAGGCTTGCAGAAGCCGATTTCTTTTTGAAAACATATAGATATATTTCACTCTTATCCACTACCTTGATCGGTTCACATTTGTTCAGAATAGCTAGCTCTTCTCCTTGTTATTTAGCGGATTGAAAATTATAATATTTGGGACTTCTCCAATCTCTACTTGTTGTAACCTACCTTTCTCAATACACACAAATTCTTTGGAAGCAGCTTGATTTGGAAACACGTGAAAATTCCACCTGCGGAAGCCGGGGGTTACCAGGCTGCATATCGCAACATCCAGAGCAATTAGCACCATCAAGTCCGATCATCCGGGGCCAAGATGGCGTCATGTTGACCTCCCTCAGCTTCCGTCACCAAGCCTCTGCATTTCATAATACTCTGTAGTAATAAGCCCTGACTTGACGGTTCGGGCGCAGAGACTAATGTGCCACTGAAGTCAACAGTCCCCCATGGGTGTAATCGACGGGCCCAACTCAGCCTAATTACGCATCAGAGATGAACTGACTAAAAGGGAATTGTCGGGATGCTCCCCGCGAATCACCGCTCCCCAACCGGGGTCTGGGATACAGACCATGATAAGTAACCAGGCGTCGTCGCTGTAGCGCGCTTCGTCACAGTGCATCAAGAAGGTGCCCCTACTCCGTACATTCCTGAGATTAGCATGTGCTTGGCCCCCTCCCCAGGCGGGTGCTGAAACTCTTGAAACTTTCCAAGGCGCTGCCGCAGCGATAAGCATCGTATGTAGCTCCAGGATTCACCTCCCGTCGCCGTCGTCCGCTGAGAAAGGGGTATCGTGCCCTTCCGTTGTTGCCCCGCCGCCGTCGCCGCCGCCACGCTCCTCGCATCCTGCCCACCCCCAGATAACGAGGGCAATCCCATGGGGTCACGCAACGCACAGGAAGGACGGGATAATAGGGGATTGAGGCGATAGAACGAAGGGGGGTGTCAGGATATCACGTAAGCGCCGTGACGAACTTTCTTCTCTGCCATCTATTTTATTTTTTATTTTATTTTGCCCGTGGTATCATTGTGCGCTTATGTGCGCCGCGTGAGTGTGCACTTGAAAGGTGTGAGGCGGTTTATTTTTGGCGATCCGGGGGTTTCTGGGCCTCAACCCATTGGCAAAGGTGCCACTCCCACTGTAGCAACTGTCCTGTCCGGAATAATCTCCTGAGAGCAGCCCACCCGTTCGTATCTCACCAAACGGTCCAAGGAGGGTAAGCCGGTTCGGTCCTGTTTTGGCGGGCGAAGCGCCTTATCACCAAGGGCCAAAGCTGCCAGCCACATGCAATAGGTTATCTATCTTGGCCAATGTATGTGTGCATTAGCGAGAAGGTGGAGGCGGAGGTTTATCTCTCCTGCTCCTCAGCCCATCTCCTCGTCTAGCCGCCACCCCTGCCGCCCATCACCCCGGTCGAGCCGCCGCACTCTGACCCCTCCCCCCCAGGCCAGTTGCCCCTTGTCTCGAGGTGCGATCTCTGGGGTCGTCCTGAAGTCTCCTGCGTCTCTTCCAGGGCAGGCAAGGTCCTCGTGCCCCTCCCTCCCTCCTCTTTGGGGAGGGTTGAGCTTGCTCTCATGACTCTTGGTTTCGGTATCTAGAGATAGGTAATGGCCTACTGCTTTATCTCCTCCTGCAGCGTGATATCCTTCCTCACTTGGGAAGGGGTAGAGAGCGGGGAGGAGGACGGGGGGATGGGGATGCTAACTTGGGGAGGATGATCAAAAAATTTCTTTTCTTTTCTTTTTTTGTTTACACTCGACCTTCTTGTTTTGCGACTGGCTAGTCTCTGCCGAGGGGGTTGCAGTCTCGCAACCGTTGGCTCAGGGCACCTCATCCTCACCGCCGGGAAAGCTCACACTCACCACCTTTTTTTTTTGTTCATGCACCTATACACACACACACGTAAACATGCACACTTCACCCTTCTCGAGGGGCAGGGCAGAGCGGGGCAGGCCGTGGTGATAAGGGCGGGCGCTTGGTTGGTCGTGTGGGCGTGCGCAATCATCAATGATGCGCTGATGATCTGGAGATTGGGATCCTATCATATGCTTCTGGGAGGGGCAGGACATGTCACTACCTTACGCACCGTTCTGGGTAATTAGAACCACATTGACTCAGCTTCGAGCTATGACATATCATACTTGTCCCACGGGGGAAAGAGGGATGATCCCATGGGACTCGTTCTCTTATCTGTACAACACATGTGCAACTGTGCCCAAAAGCGGCCGGAGTAGAGATAGCGAAACCATGAATTTATCCTCAGGGGGAGGGGGATTAAGGAAGGAAGGAGGAGGGGTGGTTTACGGCAAGACGATCCGATGGTCTGGGGAAATTGACAAGAATGTGTGTGTGTGTGTGTGTGTGTGTGGCATATCTGGTGTTGCTATACCATCAAGGTGGGATCAGAAGCAAGGCGCAAGGAAAAAAACCGAGAGCCGGATCCCGTAGGATGGCGTCCTTCACATGCCGTGTACACTGGGGGCGGTGGTGCTACGCTGGGCAGGGCGAAGAAGGAAATACGACACGCAAGCAAGGCGAAGCAAGTTTCCGCACGTCTCTCCTCTGCTTGCCCGAAAGGATGAGTAGGTCGCGAGCGAGCCACGTTGACAGTACGACAATGACATGTTCGAAGAAAAGAGGTTGCTTGTTTGAAGCGGTGCGACCAGGGGGGGTGTTGATGAGACCACGCCCTGCTCTCTCCCCGCCTTTTGCTTCCCCAACCTGAGTGGTAGAGAGGTTGTAGTAGAGAAAAATTTTCTTGCTGAAACGTTGGCTATTCTGCCTTGCCAGGTATCAAGGAGAAGAGTCATACTCTGGGGGTGAGATCTCGGGTTGCATGATGTGAGCCGCTATTGCATGAGCGGTTGGGCTTTGACCGCTTGATTCAGAAAATGCAACTGAGTGTTGATCTTACGAATGGACCTGTTACATTCTGCTGTACGTGCATGCCGCAGTGGCAGGTACATGCGATTCCATTCGATTCGAACGGTTAGTTCAGACCACAAGAGGAAGGGTTACAGGTCGTTGGGAGCAGCTGCTAGTTGCATGACAGCGCGGTTTGTGGAGTTGTCTCGTCACAAATCAGAAACCGGTTGCTGCTGTTCTCTCATCAATGCTGAGCAAGTGACTATTACGAGTTGAGCAAGACAGAGAAGGCAACAGAGTGCTGACTGTCCACCGTGCGGTTGAAACCGGCATGTCTGGCGCCTCGGGGGCCACTAATTTCCAGGGCTCGCCAGTGAGTGCTGGCACTGGAGACACGTTGAGCGATCCCGACAACTACCGAGGCTGCGCGGCCTTCCCGTCGTCCGTCCACGCCTCAGTCCATGTCATCATTGACGACGGGCTACTCCGTCGCAGGCTGCCAGTCTCGGCGGCTGGATGCCCAGGAAAGGAAGCATGCCGTCGAACCAACTGGTTGGTGTTGGCCGCTTTCGCCAACCTTCACAGCTGCCCAGCCGCAGGCTAGATGGTTTAGCGCGTGAGCTCTTGCAACTAATCACCGTCGTCTTTTCTTTTTTTTATCTTTCTGTTTGTTAGGCACACACATATGCTTAGACCGCCCGAGTTGGAGGGGTGTTTTGGATGGTTGTATGTAGTATTGGTTGGCCACAGACGCACCGCCTAAACCACTGGTTCGAAATGCAGCTTCGTCACACTGCCCAAGCCACAGTTGGGAGCATCATCGATGGCCCTTTACTTTGCTTAGCAGGGCTTTGCATCCCTTCCTTTACACGTTGCTTTTTTTCCTGTCTAATTGGTTTCGGCGGTTTGACTCTATACACACCCCAACCATCCCGAGCAACCCATCGCCAATACGGATACTCTTCTCTCGCGTTCTCTCTTGATCTATTAGCCTTTTGTGGGGAGGTGTACATGACACCACATCAACTCATTTGCATGTTTTTGAATGATGAAAATTTGCTGAGATGGTACCAATCATCACCGGAACCATGAAATGAGCCGTGTGTCACGTTCGGCGTTTGCGTGCTCAGCCTCCCACCCCCGTGTCCCAGTTCAGCTTGGCTACCTGGGCGCCAAGCAGGTCTCACGAAGATTTGCTGCTCTATCCAGAGGGATCCTCTCCCCATGGGGAGCAAACCAGGAGGAGGTATGAGCTGATCAAGTGCTTCAGTCCAGCTGGGGGGGGGGACCAGAGACACAAATTTTGCAACACCCAAAAGCGGTGGCCACCACCCATCCCTTGGAATCCTCTCCCCGCGTGCTACGCGCTACGAGGTGCATCACATGGTGATACATGCATATATTATCTAGTCTTGGAGCAACTCAGACCATATCTCGCCTCGGAAAGTGTGTTTCTTGTCACATCTCTCCTTCCGCCCATGAGAGTCTCGGTTTCGCGGTCTCAGCTTGGACCTGTCCCCAGCAGCATACCGGATCGAGTCGGGCTCGCCCGGAGCGGTATCCCGAAGCTGTGCTGCTCCCCAGAGCTCGTTGGTCGAGGATGACGACAGGGCCAGGCCGGCAAACCCCCACGCCCCCCAAGATCCATGGCCTGAGGCCCCTGGCTCCTGGTTGCCTTTCACCCTGGCACAGCGCATGCCCAGGGCAGGGATTTCTCGCTCATGGAGGCGTGGGATTGTGGGGGAAGGGGGTGTCCAGGTAAGGGGGCCATGGCTGGGCGTCTCGAGCGGAAATGGGGAGGGGGTACACATAAAACAGCTTGCGGCACCGCAGATACACGCCGTCGCCAAACCCAGCTTACCACCGCCGTGTTGACTCACCCAGCAAAAGGAACGTAACTCCCCCCTGAAGCAGGGCGAGGCGAGGCGACCATGGCCGAGGGATCATTCCAGCGTGGCGCAAAGCCTGCGGCGGTTGTAGCCAGGCGAAACTGCAGCCAACATTTGGCGGCATGGGCCTGAGCAAGCAGGTACTTGGGTACGTACATTAGTGTTATCGCTGCCGCAATTCCCCCTGTGGAGAGATGGGGGCAGATGAGTCAGTTGTCACCTGCGTTGAGTGTGGGTGCCAGCTTCGCTCGAATCATTTGGATGGGCAGCTAAAGCCGCGAGGGATGGCGAGGCAATGAAAGATGCACGTGCCTGCCAAGCAACTATTGCTCTCTCATCCACCAACGCGCGCTTTCACTCCGGCCAAATTTACCAACATAATTATATGCAACAGCATGCATTATGAAGGATAATTGTGTTCATTGCAGTCAATTGATGGATGCTCATGAGTTGAGCCTTCAATGCATACGTTATGCCACCTGGCCAGAGGTATCTAGATACGAACATTCCATCTTGCTCAGGGCAAGGTTTGGAGCCGCGTTCCGGCCTTCCGAGATGGCTACAGCAATACCAGATGCTGTGTTATAACCAGTCAAGATGAACTCCGAGAGAACTCAGTCTCACGCCCCAGTTTACCTAACTTGGCGAGGAGGCACCGGCGATGGCTCTCGAAACTCTCTTCGCAGACGCCTAGCTAGCCAACGGTAAAAGTTTAGCTGGGCACGAAAAAGAACGGTTTCCGAATGCCCGCCAATGTGGCCGAAGGGGGAGGATGAAATGTGCGATCCAATTGTTTCCCCTCCTCGGAAGTGCTGGACCTTCTCGATGCTCTCCCCGGCTTAAGCCGATGGCGTCTGCGATTCTGGTACGAGTTGCGACCCCGAAGACCTGCACATGTCGGTGTCGTACCACTTGGTCGCCCGCTGGGTGGTAGTTATGTAGGTACCTGTCGCATCCGTTTGGAAGCGAGAGGCAATGAAACCCTCAAAACTGGGGCTCCGCCAAGGAGTGCGGAGTTGTGGAATGTGCAGGCATCCGTTGGGAGCGGTTACAGCACATCATCAGTGCTATGCAGGCCGGCCGGCAGGCTTGCTTCTCTTCGCAGGGGCAGGAAAGGCTGAGAGAACATTCGGAGGTTAAATCCGACCTTGTCGCTGGGGGTGACATTTAGGATGGATACCTGCAAAGGTTGACAGGTTATGCGGCGTGGTTTTATTCTCCGATGGCGAGAGGTTAGACATCGCCCCCAAATCGATGCGGTTCTGGCAGAGGAAAGAGACGGTTGGTAAGGATGCGTGATCTCCAGGACATGCTTGTTGTCTTCTCTCCGAGTTCCCTCTCACCAAGACCCTCGGACACGGTCCCGACCGGCTTGCTCACCTTGTTCTCGCAAGACTTCCTATAAAATGAAGGCTCGGTCAGCCTCCCCGGATGGGCTCCACTTCGATTCCGAATCCTCGTACGAGTATCAAGACCCTGGGCGGCGGCTATTTGCGACTCCAATCGCACCTTGTAGCCTGGAACCGATTGCCATTGTATCTGCACTTCACTGGGCCTGTGTTGCTGTCTCCTTTCCTTCACCTGTCCATTCCTTCCATGGGTTGACTGTACACACACCCACGACGAGTCGAAAACCTATAAGATGAAGCCCTTGAGCTTCACCATGTCAGAACAAGGGGGGGTGTCGCTCTAATATCCCCCCAACAAGTAAAAATATACTCGAACCCACAGGGCAAGGTCTGATCAGCCGAGAATTCTGGTCCTTCTGGGGTCCCCAACGGGTATGCACTGCCGGTAGGTGGTTGGCAGGTATTGCCATGAACTCAAAGTGATTATCAGAAAGCATGTTTTCTCTATCCTCCTTGTTCCCGGGGTCAGCTAGCCACGGCTATGCTGCCCTTCATTATATCAAGGAATGCATGGGAATCACTCCTTGTTCTCCGGAGCTTGCCATGGCGCAGTGATTAAGTTATTGCTGGAACGCCTTGTTCTTTGACTTTGATTCTTCCCATCACCGTGAAATTACTGATTGTAGTGGCACTGGTGAGCTGGCCTCTGATGAATGGGTTTCCATTATTGCAAACTTGATCGAGTTGGAAGCATTTCGTTCCAAGCGTGAATGTCTCTTCCTCAATATCTTTGCCAGTAGACATGGGGGCAGGAACTTCGATATCCGGACATGCGGAGCACAGGCGGTCCCGACAATGTTGCTCTGATACTCACCTGGGGATTCCTTGTCCAGCGGCTTCGGAGGAGTGGGCAACATGCCTGATTCTGCCCCCAACTTGTCCCGACGGTACAAACAAGCTTTCCTAGTCTTGTGATGGGCTCAGACCATCCAAGAGCGCCGCATGTCAGAAAGCCTTTGTAAACACACGCCTCCATTCACCGTTCCAGCGGAAATTGGCGAGGTACAACGATTTGGTTGCTTATTCAGTGAGAAAAGAAACCTGGCACTACCCCCTCTTCCTGGTTATATCGAGACAATGTCTTCTCCATGAGTAGGCCACTACTGCAAGAGAGTGTCAGCGTTCAGGTTTCCGCACGCCCCATCCCCCACGACGTGGACGCGCAAGAAGGAGATCGTATTTGGGGATGTCATCATGATCACCGCCCCAAACAAATCGGTTATGCCCGATCTTTCCGACTTTGCAGCATGCCCGCCCTCTCAGACCCCACGCTGGAGAAACATGGACCTGCATGTGATATGTTTCGACCAGGACACGTCGGCACATCAGGTTGGGTAGTATGATGTGAGGTCCGTGATACAGCACCGGCCCGGGACAAAGTACACCCATAGAAATGGAGTGAAAAGAGCCCGAAGCTCGAATGCTACTACTACCCCACAAGTTCGGCCAATCCCAGTTTATTTGTGTTCCAAATGGGGATTGCTGGAGAGTAACCTGCTACACTGGCTTAGGTGATGCGTCCGAATGGCGTGAGTCTGCTGTATAACGCCGATGTCTCCTTGGGGAAAGGGACAGAACAGGGAGATAACTTTATCACGCCGGCTCGCCTTCTCAATGTCCAAGACGCCGATTCATACTCTCTACCGGATCGGAGCGGGGATCGACTGGATGGGGTGCATCTAGCCTGTCGCCTTCGACTGATACGAAGTGTTGAGTATCGTGTAAGAGATGATTGGATTTCGAGCTTTGTACACTTCAACATGCAGGCCGACAGGCCGAGGAATAGTTCTTTGGCCCTGGTACCCGCCATGTGATGAAGGTTGGTATCTGTTTTTCCACTCTCGTATGCGCCTAGAGGCTGTCATCGAGATGCCCGAGGAGATACGTTCCTGTTCTTGTGTCCATGGCACTATGCATGAGTTCTACTTGATGTGTAGGGAGTAGCTTTAGAATCATGCCCATCAACGAAGAGGGTACAGGGGACGGCTAAAACGAAGGCATGGCGAAGAGAGCGCTGCTACACGACATTCAGCAGTGAGATACCCAGTTGGTGTACAGTTATTGACACTATATCGCAACATCCCCCCCTTTTCTTGGACGAGGTTGTTCAAAACTTGAAAGACCTCGTGGCCAAGGCTGCGGAGGCTGGATTGGACGGGTCGATAGGTTTGCCGAAACACTCATGCCATTGGTGAGTGAGTCCTGCCCCTCGGGGTATCATCCCCAGGGGGTAACTATTAGTCTTTGATCGTGACTCCTCCGATGGCCTGACACTTTGTTCTCCGGAAACATGGCTTCCCCCATATAAAAATTTCATCAAAAATGTCGGACGTAAGGCAAAGACATGGTGGTTGTTAGGTAGCCAAGCTTTGAGGTGCCTTGCACTCTCATGATCTAGGCGGCACCGTCCTTGGAAGTTGGGCTTCGTCTGAAGATGAGCTATTGTTAAATTCCCATTGCAGGTATGGCGATCCTAGTCAGGATGAATGTTGCTCGAGCCCGCGGTGTGTTGTCACAATATTGTAGCCCGTAATGACACGTCCCAATTCCTTTTCGTAGCCATGAAAACCACATTAGAAGAACCAGATGTCTCGTTGGTGTCGCAGTCGCAGATGAGACGAGGAGTAATCATCATTCTCCATTGATAGAGTCCGACCTATAATGAATCGCTGGATTTCAATTGCAGCCGAACCCAGTGGCTAGCTATAATCCCATAAATGACAAGACTAATCCTGTCCCCTTTCCATTCCCAAACCCTTGAAATCGATGGGATATCCGGAAATCCAAAGCAACGCCGTGCTACTTGTGATGGCTAGAGATGAAGGCATCCTAGCATGACATGATAGAAACAGTGGTGATACACAGGCGAAGCGCAAGAAGTTCGCAACTTCATCGCTCCGTCAACTCGACTCTGTTTAACCCCATTTCACACCAAAGAAGCTGAGCTGCTTGCGGTGTCCTCCAGCTCCATTTGGATCTTCCTTCTCCAGATACACGCGCTCGTGCTCCTTGACATCCAGGAAGAGATACTTGTAATGAAAATCGTCTGAATTGCGGTACTTGACCATATGGAGGCGGACAACGCCATTGTTCAGCGGCCCATGGACCTAGGATGATATTAGAATTTAGTCCTCGGAGGTTGAATGAGTTTTTGGTCTCACATAGAAGTGCATTATTAGGTGCTGCGTTCCGTCTGGGTCGGTTCGCTCAGTAGAGCTGTCTTGGTGTTAGTGAGAGCCTTGACATTCGCATTGTTTGGGAGGAAGCCCATACGTTACTGGGCGAGCTCGTCGCCAACTATTTGACGACTCATCACCATGCGCAGAGATCTTTTTGGGGTTCCCAAGAAGTTCGATGCATCGATGGTCAACTTTGACTTTGTCTAGCGCTCGGTTGAATTGTGCGGTCTTGCTGTCGGGAGAAAACACATCGTGCCAGAGGAAGTATCCAACACCGCCCTATTAAGGATCAGAAACTAATGCCCGGGAGATCTGTGAAGAAACTAAATGACTGACTGTGAGCACAATGCCAACTATAACCATGCCAAAGTTGAAGCTCTGTTGGGTGGCCCGGGCGGCTTTCTCGCTCACCGAGAGCTCGCTCCAAGGCACAAACCCAGTATCATTGAATGGTGTGACAGAGCGTCTCCGCGATGTAGGCTTGGCATTGTTATTCGTGCTGCCTTGGGTGGCGTACGGTCGGGCGCTCAGAAACGGACGGATCGAGGTTGCGGAGGTTAGGCGGGAGAC